GTTCAGGTTCCGGTCCTGCTTCTCAGGGGACGAGTCCGAAGAGTCGTCGAACATCAGCTCGCTTTTGGCCGGCTCGGCGTGCGGCTTGGGCGAGAACGGCCGGTCGCCCGACGGGGACCCGGCCCGCGAGCTGGCGGGGCTGGACTTGTCATCCGTGCTGCCCTCGTTCTGTGAGTCCCGCTCCCCGGCGTCCTCCGCCGCCTCGTAGACGACCAGGCGGGGGTGGTAGCAGGCCTCGTCCTTCCTCGTCTTCTCCGAGACGCAGTCCAGGACCCAGTCCGGGGTCACCACCTTCAGGCTGGCTCTCTTCAGGGCACATTCGTACTTCTCCTGCGAGAGCAACACAGACACACAGAGCCGTCAGTTCTGTCGCATCCCCAGGATGACGCATTAACGATAAAGAACGTCAAAGAAACGTTCGGCGCCCGTTACTGCTTTTTCCTGCCCAGTATAAGGTCTTTTTAAAAATCGTGAAGAGAACTAAAAATATATCCTCACGAATAACGAACTGAAGTTTTAGTGGATTTGAAAGGAAACTCCAGAGATTCAAATAACTTTTCCTATCCTCTCCGCGTAAATAAACTCAAATTTCTTTGTAGGCAGAAGTCAGATCTGGCTCAAAATAAAGTTTATAATCATCTCGCATCCTTTGCGGAGTGAAGCTCGGCATAAATGACATAAACTAACGTAATCAGCTTCTGTGAACTGAATCCGATAACCCACGTAAAGCTAAAGAAAAAACCCAGTTCCCGGAACGGCGAACGACGTGAGCACTTACCCCCTTGGGCTCTGGGACGACCAAGTGTGTGCACGTCCTGTCCAGGTGCAGCTGGCAGGCGCCCCCGTAGAAGGTGAGCAAGGCCCACAGGGCGCTCCTGTCGTCAGAGGCCACCTGGCAGGGAAGCGGAGACAGGGTGCTCACCACACGTTCCGGGAACGGTGATGTGCGTGGCTTACGCTAAGACACACCACGCTCACGGCGACTCTGCTCTACCCGCTTTCCTGTCCCACTAAATGAGATCGACCTGAAGGTACTGGCGGGAAAGACAGACAAGACTTCGGCTATGTGCTTATTATGTGACGAAGCTGTATTCCTATCATAATTCCTATCATGGACATCTTTTTGCCTCGTCCCCGAATGAATAGAAAAAGATACTTATCTCCACACGCCAAAGACTGAATGGAGGATTACTTCATTCTATCACGAAAATATAGGGGAGAAAAGCAGAAAGAACTAGCACACATTCCATCCGCCAACTGCGCCATTTCTGAAAGTACTTTCAGTACAACAGCGGTATCGGAATCATATTTAAGAAACTCCTTAATCGCTAACAGATAACAAGTAAATACTAATTGTGAAATGAATAAAACAAAAAAAGAAAAATACAGTGGTCTGTGCGATCGGGGGCAACGTGATTATACACCAAAGAAATGAGGCGCCTAAGGAAAGAATTCTCACGCGTGCCTCGGGCACGATGGCTTGTGCTGTGGGACAGGCTCTCACCGTGACGACCGCCAGCTGCCATTCACTGCCCGCCTACTACGCGCCGGGAACTCATTCACTGCCCACCTACTACGCGCCGGGAACTGTGCCGGTCTCTACGTGACCCCTCACCCTCCCCGCTGCCGCAGGAGCGGGGGCCGGCAGCCCTGTGTTACGGGAGCGACACACGCACAGAGAGGTGTGGCTCATGACCGGGAACACCGGCTTTTAGACCCAGTCTGACTCCAGACCGCATGCCCTCTACCATGCTGTCCTGCTGCTCCGAGACAAGCACTACTGAAAATGATTTCTAGAAGGTAAAATTTTAGAGTCTGAAAGACAAACATTTAAGAAAAATAGAGGTGTTAGCATTAATCCTAACGCAGTCATTTAACCAATTTTGTTCTGGATCCTTGATTATAAAGTGAGGATTATGGTTAAGAATTCTGAGCTGCATCTCAAGTTAATTTTTAAAAGTATCGATACACAGCGGTTTAATTTTTAATTGCCGTTATTCAGCTTGCCAAAAATCTAACATTCTACATCTACTCTCATCCGTTTTACAAATAATTCCAGGAATTATTCTGAATTCCACACTACTCTGACTGCTAATAAGAACACATTCATTTTATAAAATCACTTTTAAAAATCACTTTGTATTTCTAACTTAGTCAATGTTACATTTCAGAAAACTGAATCAAAAGATTATTTTTATTACAGGCTTTCACAAAACATCTGTATCCTGCAGTGTCTCAGGGAGGTGAGATTTAATCCTATAACACAGATTACTCCAATGAGCCACTATATAATCTTTATTTTAAAAGGAATTTAAGAACAATCTAGACATGCCTTTCTCACAGAGATCTGGCCACATGCCAGCTAAGTACAGTTTTTAGTCTACGACGGCGTGATCCTGGCCGTCTCTCCACATCTGGCCCATGCCGCAGGCGTGGTCTCAACGGGGCCCAGCACCTTGCTGTGGAGAGAGCATCAGACAGGGAGGGAGACCGGGGTGACACAGGAGTTCCCAGAACCAGCCGTGTCAACGTGGAGCCAGACTCATCGACAGACACGTGGGTGACGTGACCGCCGACACCCACAGCAGCTCGTGCAATGAACCGCTACCGGCGTAGATCACGAATGCTCTTTCCAGACCAAAACACTCACTCCGGTCACCCGGTGGTGACAGGGCTACGGGGACATCTCTATTTTCTTTGTTTACACTTTTCTGTGTTTTCCACATTTTCAAGAGCATTAACTTTGTAACTGGGACAAGTGCCTTTCTTTTCGTTAAAGTCACCTCTCTAAGCCCAGGTCTACCGAGGCTTGAGTGTCTCCTCAGTGCCTTAGGGCCAAAACCCAACCCTGAGAGGGTGTCTGAGGGCCGCCCCTCCCGCTGAGCACTGGGCAGCACTCGGCAGGGGACTGACAACCCTCACCGCCACCCTCTAAGACCCAGCCGGCATCACTGGCTCTCCACTGCACGGCGAACTGCCACTGGGTCCCTGTGTGCTTGTCCCCACTGCTCTAGACGCGGGAGCAAAGGACAGTCACTTCGCTTCCGTCTTGGCACCAGCCAGGAACGCCTGCCCGGGGGTCTCGCCCGTGGAGAGCCGCTCCTGGGCTCTGGCTCCCGTGCTTTCCCCTGGCCCGGGCTGGATCACGAACTGTCCCCCTGCTGACTCAAGGCCGAAGTCTTGGGGCGGAATCACACCTTGAACTTCCCTGAAATCTTTCTAGTACCTAAGACAGTGCAAGGCACGTGGGTAGGCAGTCAAGAAGTGTTTGTTGACTGAGCAATGGAATGGAAAGGGCTTTTATTTTTCAGTCATCCAGGTTTAAACCCTGGCCAGGCTCTCCATCAGCTCTCTATTAAACTGATATAGCAAAAACAAAGAGAGAATTTTATCATCTTAAAGAACTTTCAGAATTTACAAGCAACACAAACAGAAAACAGAGTAACCGTAACTAAACTTACTTATCGCTGGAGCAGAGAAGGGATCAAATCCGGACTGGTGACAGCATTTGCATGAAAAGCCGAGTCTGACCAATAACTTAACGATGTTAAACTTTTACCTGGTCCTGTATTCCTCTACTAAAAAGGCATTTAGAAAAAGCCAGACTGTAATCAGATTCCTTTTCATCTCCCTAGAACCCAGGACATGCCCTTTCTCAAAGCTGCCACAGAGAAGGGAACGAAATACTTTCTCAGAACCACCACCTTAAGAGCACAAAGCTACAGAATGCGCCTGGGCCTGTGACGCCAAAGAAAATGGCGGCATTCTGAATGGCACGTTTGCCTGTCCAGGGACTACTAATCTTAAACAAATTATTCTGTCATTTAGAAACAAGCTTAAACGATACAACTTGAGTTTTTATAACCTTTTTTCCACTCAGAACATTCCCCACGTCTTCACACAGATTCACAAAACCTAATTCAAAAATGGTTACGTGGCTGCCGTGCAGGTGTGCGGGGAGTTCTGATCCACTGCCAAACGGCGGGCGGCCTCCTTCACCAACAAGGCTTCGCTGACGCCTTCGCGTGCCCATCCGCCCGCCCTCCCACCAGCCTGGGGTGGACCCGAAGCAAAGAGAACTGCGCGAAAGCGGAGTGAGCATGTTAAGGTTGTGGACAGGGCTCGGCTCGATCTGTCTGGAAAACAGCAGCTGAGATCAGCACCCCTGCTGCAGGGCGTGGTCCAGCCCCGCATCCCCCGCACGGACGCACGGCAGGGAGTGGTCCAGCCCCGCATCCCCCGCACGGATGCACCACTACCAATCCCACCAGCGCAAGTTCTTACCTCGCTGCTACTAAAATGCTCACCTCTTCGAAAATAGTGTAAAATGTTTTAATTATTGTTTGTAATTCCTCTTTATAAAAAGTTGTAATTTTACTTTTCTGCTTTATCTGAGGTCATATTTCCTTCTTATTAATCTGTATGAGCCCTTTATTTATTAAGAAAACTCTCTGCCTGTATTTGACTGGATTTTCTTTGTCATATTATAACTTCATTTTTACTATTTTTTCGTATCGAGTTTTAAATCTTGACAATTCTTTAGATTTGAAAGACCACTGTACCCCATGAGAACTCCACATCTTAAAACTAAGCATGAATGTTTAATTATAAGTGTGTCACACGATCACATTGAATATGCCCTTCAGTGTGGCATACATCCAAACAGATCATACATCCAATCATATAAAAACTCAGCGTTGTCACACGTAAATAACAAGAGACTCATTGTTCCCATGCTTACCTGAGAGAGGCAGGCGGTGATTCCAAAAAAAATCTGACATGACTCTGGGGAAAAGCCATTTACTCTGTAGTAGTTATTAAGAGTCCAATGAGATCAGACGAGTACAAGCTGAATGCCACTAACACGTCCCGTCCGCCCGCTGGGACGTGAGCCGCCCTCTCCACTAGGGAAACAGACAGACTTAAGTGGCCAAAGCACGGGGCAGACTGGGAAAAGAGAAGGTGAGAGAGAGCACAGAAAAAGCCGATCTGCACCTACATCCTCAGCGAGGGGACGTGATACACTCACGGGCAAACGGCCGACCATGCAGACGTGCATCTTACACACGTGCGCGTAGCAATTATCATAAAAGCAACTTAAGTCTTCAGCATCCTCCGGCATGGCGCATGAGTGTGACCACTTCCACTGTGAGCTGGGGGCGGGGGGCCTTCATCAAAGGCCGGGGAGACCCTGCCACACGGCCACCGCTAACTGTGCCTGGGACCAGACAACTCGGCTGCAGCCCCCTCGGCTAAAACGAGGGTCAGGACGGGATGGGTCTCTCTGCCAGACCCTCCCGCTGCTCAAGCTCTGGTTTTTAAGCTTCACTCCAAGCCTGGAGCTGCGGCCCTCGCTGAGGCTGATCCCCTCCCACTCCCAGGGGACGGAAAGCGGCAGGACAGAGCGCACCCCGCTCTGCGCCGGGCAGCCACCGTCTCAGCCTCCGAGAGCCCTTCCCCACCCCCTGCCCCAAAAGGATACGGCAGAAGCGCTCCACACTGCGCAGACAGGGTCACCCACGAAGGCTGCAAGAGAAAACAGAGGCTCAATCAGAGGCTTCGACTCGCGATCGACAAGTTTTACCAGCGTGGCTCCCAGCCCAGCCACGGACGCCGAAGCGTCCAGGTTTTGGCCTCGTGCCTGGAGCATCTCGGATCTGTTACTGACGCCCGAGGTGAAAAGCCATCACAGGCCAGAACCCACCACGTCTCCAAAACACCACGTGCAGAGACTCGAGTTCTGGGTTTACACACTTCTCGCTGCTTAAGCCCTCGGGCTGGGAACTGTCCCCCACTGGAGGGACAGGGATCCGATGGCCGTCCCTCCCCATCCAAGGCCCCTTCTTCATCCTGAATCAGGTCTAAACTCCTTTTTGTCAGTGAAGCCAAGTAGACACACATTAGTAAACCATAAAAAGTTTACTTAAAAACCATAAAAAACCATAAAAACCTTTTTATAAATTCCAGAACTCATGTTAATTATAAAAAGTTACCACCTTTTTGAGTAATTTGTATTTTTGAAAAATTATCTTACCTTATACCTCTATATTTAACTTTGAAAATTACGTTAATCATTATGCTGATGACTCTGCTTCACAGAATTACTATGTAAAACTCCAGTCACGCCCCCACACAGCCAGCCGACTTCCAGAAACTTCAGCCGACAGAAACAGACAGCCAGGTCATACACCGAATATTCACTGAAAACCCATCTTGTGCCGGAGACAGAGCCGGGCGCCTCAGACGGGGCGCAGAAGGGCAGCCCGCCCTCCGCGGAGCCGGCGTCGCCACGCTGTCACGTGCACGGCGACAGAATCTGAGAAACGAAGCAGCCCTCGTTCTCCAGGCGACGCCGACGAGTGTTCAGCACGAGCTTATGTCTTCTGCAAACACAGCACAGGGATGCTGACCGTCTCATGAGACGAGACGGGCTCTGCTCGGCGTGATTCTGTCACGGTGACGGGATAATTCCACCGGACGCTGCGGCTACCTCACGGGACGGGATGCGGCGAGCTGAGAGCCAGCGCCCAGCCCATCCGCGCGTCGTCACCGCGTGGGCTCCGGCTGCACTGCCGGGACCTGCGGGCACCGGGGACACTCCCGCCCCACTGCTTTGCCTCCTCCGCATTCAGAACAGCGCCCAGGGCCACGCTCCACTCCCAGCGGGGACGCCCAGAGCCCCCGAGTTCACCGCTCGCAGGGCCTGGCACCAGGGCGGCTTCTCTGTCACCCCTGGGCGGGTGTCCAGGCTGCTCGGATCCGGGCCTGGATGGGGGCCAGCAGGCCTCCTCTCAGCCGTGGGGAGGGGCCGCTGTGGCCACTGTGGGAATGGCCCCGTGAGGAAGCAGACGCTGGAAAGGTGCCCCTCACGCCGTCCACGCAGGTCACACCCTGCAAAGTCGTCTGTCCACGGCCTCGGGGTCAGCACGGGAACACTCACTTAAAGACTGGGCCGGCGATCACAAAGTCCACACACAGCAGACTCACCCTGAGGCTGAGTCGGCACATCCAGGAGAGACGATGCGGAGCTGAGAAGCAAGACACGCTCGCCCACCATAACGCAGAAACGGCGAGCTAAGCACAGTGACACGCAGCTCCAGCCCCAAAGGCAAACAACATACACAGGTGAACCGCTGCGGTCAGCATGGCTGTTTCCAACAGCACCCAAGGCCACTGAGGAAAACAGTTCGATTAAAAAATTTATTTTCAAAGTCTTAGTGCCTGAAAAGCAAGTTTTGAGTATCTATAAAATTCAAAGATGTAAAAGGTAAACTGTCGCAGTTCATGGGGTGCTTTATTTTTTAAAGTGTGTGTGCCAACTTAACATTAGGCAAAGTCGGGTACACGCTCAGGGAACCAGGCCTCGGCCTCAGCGGCCGAATGCAAACTCCTCCCCAGGAGCAGCAGCCCATCAAGGCCTGCTGGCAACGGATGAAGGGCTCAGGGTCGACCGGCACTGCCCGGGGGGAGAACGAGCTGCTGGACCAGCTCAGAGAAGTCCCGTCATCCTGCAACTGTCACCCCAGACAACACAGATGCCGCCATAAACGAAAGGCGGGCTGGAATGCAGAGCCAGATGAAGTGCAGGCCTGACTTCTCAATAAAACCCTACAGCAAACGCTGGGGAAGGCAGGGGCTGCACCGAGCTGGACGGGCCAGACGGCGGCGCCCGAGCCAGCAGCTGGGAGGCTGCCTGCTTCCCAGGACACCCCCTCTGCGTGCAGCGGAGCCTGCTCTGCTCAGCTCAGATTCGGAGCACGGATCGATGACCATTCTGAAATGCCACCTCGCAGCGGGGACCTCGCTGCTGGGCTCTGACGCTCCGCCCACGTCTGGGGCAGTCACGTTCACAGTGATCGACGTGTGGCACGTCGGACTGCTTCTTCCAGGCTCTGGGGCAGCTGTGCCCAAGTATTTACACACTGAAGCGCACACTTACGATGATTTACTTTCTCTTCTCCTTAACGTTTCGGCTTTGGCGATTTATATACAAATACAAAACACGTGCGCACGTACACGTGCTTAAAATTACGTGACGTTCTCCTAATTCGAATTTCATTTCGGTATATGACACGACACTTGGTACGGAAGGGGGCTTAGGGTCACCACTGTTGTAAGTGGTCTGGCAACACTGACCTCAGCCCCTAAAATCTGTCATGAAATTTCTCTTTTAAGGTTCACTACGGAACCGACACACTCTCCACGCAGCCGCCTGGATGAGGCCATAGGTCCCAGGCTACTGCATGACAGAAAGACAGTGCAGGAAGGGGAGGTAAACGAGATCCAGTCCCTAAGCAAACCAGAGACAAAAACGGGGTCCCACGGAGCCCGCGGCCCGGGGCCTGTGGCAAGTCCTTCTCTCACAGTGACATTGGTGAAGCGACCAGTGTGCAGCGGATCTATGTGCAGAGAGAGCCACGCGGCCACACTGAGTCGAGCATCCCGGCAAGGGGCTGGCCACTGCTCACCGCTGGGTCCTTCTGGCCTGTGCGGCCGTCTCTCCAGAGTCTGGCTTCTGAGAACCTTCTTGCGAGACAGATCTGCTCTCTTGTTTATTTTCAAAAATCAGGTCCTAAGCCCGCAAGGCACGGTCTCAGGCGGTCGGTGCAGGTGCCCTGCTCCCCAGCCAACCCCGACCGTGGCCTTCCCCAGCTCCCACCTCTGCCGTCACTGGGCCACAACCACCTTCATACTAGCTGTTTCGAAAGCAAAGCCCTGTGACAGCATGGACAAGGGGAAAAAAATGGTAGTAAAATATAGCTATTTCGGTACACGTGTATGATACGGAAGATGAGAAAAATACTAGCCCTTCACCCGTTTACGGATGGAGTGCAGCTCACAGAGGAATGCTACATTTTCCTAAATGTGATATTTTCGGTGACCAGACTACTAAAAACAAAATGCTATAAAAACGAAGATGCCATTTCTTTCCAAAGAACATCAATAAGTTAGAACGATGCAAAAATAATAAAAAAGTGAGATGTTTCGTGGCAACCTTAGGGGGTGAGGTTAGCACTGCAATCCACGAGTTACGTGGGGCAAACAGGAAAAGCGTGTGAAGCAGGGGTCCCCTGCCCCCAGGCCATGGGCCAGTACCAGTCCGGGGCCTGTGAGGACCCGGGCCGCACAGCAGGAGGTGAGCGGCGGGCCAGCCAGCGAAGCTGCATCTGTATCTGCGGCCGCTCCCCAGCGCCAGCATCACCGCCTCGGCTCCGCCTCAGATCCTCAGGCGTTAGATGCTCACAGGAGCCCCAGTCCCTGGTGCCAAAAAGACTGGGGACCGCTCGCTGGTTTAAAGGGTCAAAATTACAAAATTAAAATGTGAAAACATTTAACAGCAGTCAACTCAGCTATCAGCCGCAACAGAGCAGCAGAGCGTGCTGATCAACAGAATGCAAACAACTCTCTCGCTGCTGAGGCCCCACTTTCTAGAATGAACTACCCATCGGTCAAGCTGATAGTGGCACAGATGGCCACCAGGTGGATGGTGCTACAAATGGTCACTGTGACCCCTGTCGGAGAGGAGACAGACAGCACAGCAGTCAGGGGGCAGGACACGGAAATCGGGCCCCGTCGCCACAGGATGGAAGGTGACTCTGTCCTGGACCCCAGTCGAATGCGCTTTCTCATGACACTCCCCCTCCCCCTGGCCTGGGGCTCCCAGTGGTCAAACGAGGTGGCCCCACAGCCGCCACAGATACTGCCGGACCGGGGTTTGCCGCGCCCGAGCACACGCCCTCGGGTGACATCACGCATCGACGCGCTGCTTCTGCAGGGTACGCGGTGCCACGCACACAATGCGCTGGATTCGCCACCGACCTTCACGACAGGCAAGTCGAAGACCTCCCGAGCTTCCCCGACCTCCGGGTTGTCGCCGTCTTCGGAGATGATGTGTGAGGCCAGCGCGTTGTAGGACACTTCCTTAGCCTTCCCAGCTTTCAGAAGCTGAATCACCTAAAAAAAACCCACACAAGTTAAAATGGAAACTATGGCATTTCATCCTCGGTTCATTCGAACTACTGCCAACGGTGCGAATTCCAATCAGAAACACACCACGTTCTGCGCATGGGCCTGGTTCCCTTTGACTCACATACGACGAAACACTTGGGGACAAGAAAATGCAGCAAACCTCAGCTCACTGACCAAGGAAGCGTGAGGCTGTTGCGAGCCGGCCCCCAAACAGCACCTGTCCTGCAGAGAAAGGGCTGACGGACAAGGGGACGCAGCGCCCGGCGCTGAGACTGGGCTCGAAGGCCGGGGGTGGGCGGCTTCCCCTAAGGAGAAGGTTCTGGAAGAGGAGCCAGCAGGCCCCGGGTGGCTGGGAGGACTTCCTGTGCTGAGCGGCCCCGAGTTGCAAGGAGTCAGCTGGGCACCGGCGCCCACAGCCGGGGGCACACTGGGCGGGCTCATGGGGACCGAGCCGCGAACGGCCTTTCCTCTGCCCTAGGCAAACACGCACACACTGCATTGTGCAGCAGGACGCAGAAGTGTCTCCGGAGAGGCACGCGGGGTCTCGAGCAGGTAAGTGGCACGACCAGATTCTCCAGAACGATCGATGTCATGTAAGAATGGGCTGGCTGGACCCCAGTGAAGGAACAGCTGCAAAGGCCCAGGCAAAAGGACGGCCACCTGAACTAGTGAAATGTCACCAGGGACAGGAAAGACGGATGGCACAGAACGAGCAGATGTGAGGACTGCAAGGGGTGCTGGCGGCCAGGACCGCCCCAAGGCCGGCCCAGATCAGGGGCGGGGCCCGAGGAGGGCGTCAGTCGCGCCCCTTCCGGGTGCCCTGTGGGAGGCTGGAGGCATCCGGTGGCAGCTGCGAAGAGGCCTGGGTCCCGCCCGCCGGGGTCGGCAGCATGTGTGAGATGGCAGTGAGGGGACCGCAACGGTGACCCGGGAGGGCGGTGCGCGTGTGCTCACAGGGCACCCATGACAGTCCAGCCTCTGCACGTACTTCCCCACATGGACTCACTACCACGTGGCCCCCTAGCAACGCTGCACTGGGAATCTGCAGGGCGTCCGCGGTGGGGCCGCCCAGCCCCAGGCCCCAGCGTACCGGGTCGCCCCACGTCACTGCTCCAGACACACCCCAAATATCTCGACGCCTTCTTCCCTTAGCGCATCATCTCACGTGGAGGAAATCGCCTTCCACCCTTTTCCTAGCTGGAACATTTCGGGGTGCCTTCTCCTAGCACCCCCAGTACCTACCACCTACACCCTCGTGTCTTCAGGGAAGCTACCCACCCCCACCCACCCAGACCGAACTTTCTATCACACCTGGTACCTAGTCCAGCGCCTGACGAGCACGAGGTGTTCCACACACGTCAGCTTGCTGAACCCATATCTATAAGATTCTGAAGGCCCAGATGTTCCTGCTCTAAACTTTTTAGAAAATACGCTGTTTCAGACCCAAGTGGTCCGTTTATGTGATTTCTAAGCACTTAGAGTAGATTCACAGTTGAGCAAACATGGTTCCAGATCAGCTTGTTCCAGGTTTTAAGTAGCTTTTGGTTCAAGTTCCTTGTGAAAGCCAAGTCCTACAGTGACAGAGGGGACGGGGAAGAGGGGCCTTGGAGAGGGGTGGGAGGAGAGGAAACTGTCACTGCTGGGAAAGGCGAACCCCGACAGGCACTCATTCCCGTCGCTCAGCCCTCAGCGCCTACGCAAGGCCAAACTCAAAGCTAAAAGTCTCTTCACCCTAAACTTACAGTAGGAAGAGGATGACCAAGGGGGGGTCACCCAAGGGAGTCTAGTCACCGTGACCCCCATACACAAGCCTCTAGAAAGCCAAGACCACTCAGCCCCCTGCAACTCCCCCTGTGCCAGCCATGCTCCCTCGCCGCACTCTTCCCGTGGCCCCGCGTGCCCCCTCGGAGCTCGGCCCTCACTGCTAAGACGCTCAGGCGACACAACTGCACAGACCACCTTTAAGAAAGGGAATACCGTGAAGATCCACCCGAAGATGCTCCTTCCCACGCGGAAGCGCAACGTTCTGACGGTTAAACGGCTGGACTACCCGCAAAACGCTCAGGAAAAGCCACGGTTCCCTTCACGAGCCCCCACTACGAATAATTAAACGCTGTGATGCTGCTCCCTGGGTGTTTTCCACATTTACTGCGCAATTCGCCCGGCGGGGAAAACCAGGGAATCCGAATTTGCCGATGAACTGAGCGAGCTGTTTGCAGGTGGGTACAAGACAACAGCTGTGTGGCTGCCGCACCAGGGGCCAGGCGGACCGCCCCCTCCCGCTGGAACCCGGGGCCTCCACGCAACCGAGGTTCCCCCTCTCGGGATCCCACACACCCGAGCCAGCGGGCAGCAGGGAGACGCGTGCCTGTCCAAATCCCGCCCCAGAAAGCGAAAAGTGCGAGTCCAGCGGAGGCCGCGCGCTCGGGGGGCGTGGGGGCCTTATGGCCATGCGACACGACGCCAGCTCCCCCAGGCGGAGGACGGTGACAATCGGCGCGAGGCCCAAGCTAGGGCTCGTGAAGAGCACCGTGCACGCGGGGCTCCGGCGCCGACCCCCACCCACGTGCCCTTCCCGCGTCTGCGGTCTGGGTGCACCCGAGGGTCCCGCACACGCTCTCCCTCCACGCTAGCGTGTCCCGCAGACCCCTTCCCTCCCCTCCCCGGGTCCTCTCTCCCACCGTGAGCGTCCCGCAGACCCTCCCCAGGTACCCTCCCGAGGGTCCCCCCCCCCAAGGGTCCCGCAGACCGCCTCCCCAGGTCACTTCTGCCCTCCCGAGGGTCCCGGCGATCCCCGCACACAGGTCCCCTCCCTGCCCTCCGGCCCCCGGCCTGTTCTGCTC